TCCCGTCCTCTCTCTCTCTCTCTCCTCTTCTTCCTCCCTCCCCTCCTCCTCCTCCTCCCTCCTCCTCCCTCCTCCTCCTCCTCTCCTCTCCTCTTCCTCGCCTCCCCTCTCCGCCCGTGGATACATTCTCTCTCTCTCTCTCTCTCTCTCTCCCTTCTGCTTCGTTTCTCTCATCTCGTTCGTCTTCTTCTTTCGGCACTCGCCTCTATCCCTTTATTCCTTATTATCTCTCTCTCTCTCTCTCTTTCGATTCTTCGTCTTTCCTTCCAATCGGTTGGCAATGGTCAATCACCGAGCTGCTGTTGGTGCTTGCTGTTGTCGCTCGCGTTTCCTCGCATTTTTCGTCGATCTCTCTCTCTCTCTCTCTTCCTTTTTGTTTCTCCCTCTGCTTTTCCCTTTTATCCGATTCGTGTTTTAGGATTTGTTTCGTTTCGGTTCTCTCTCTCTCTCTCTTTTTGGCGGAGAGAAGAGATTCGAGGTCGTCATTGTGGTGATGACGCTTTTTTCCTTTTTTATCGTGTTCGTATTAGGAAAAGGTTGTCGGCGAGAATTCGCGTATTCGAGGCACGCGATGGATCTCTCGTTGGTTTAGATCGTGTCGGTCGCGCGAGTCCTCGAGGGTCGGTGTCGCGCTGCCGTGGAAGAGGACGAGGAAGAGTGTACGTAGAAGAGTGTACGTACAAGTGCGGTGCGCGAACCGCGGTGCGCAGAGGCGCAGGAGACACGGCGCGCGGCTCCCGTCGCGCATTCGCGCTCCGCACGTCGTTGCGAGCGCTTCCTCTCCTTGGTTGGGGTTCGTTCTTTTCGCCATTTCACCATTTCGTCGTATCCTCGTTGAATCGTTGCTGAAATATATCGCTTCTCTTTTATTTTTCTTACGATTTTTTCTTCTTCTTCTTCTTCTTCTTCTTCTTTTTTCTTAAAGAAGAAATGAAAAAGTTTTTTCGGAGATATAATTGTTTCGAATAATAATCGAGAGCGAAGTAACGTAAGTGGTTAGAGTGATCGAGTGAACGCTAAGATTAACCTTGCTCGTAAGTGTTTCGAACTTAGGAGGGAAAGTAATTTTTGTTTCCTCCTCCCCCCCTCTCCTATTATTCGTTATCTACAAATTTCCAAATAATTGATCGATCAAAAAATATATATATATATATATTTTGACAATTTTGATATATACATCCATTCGAATCCGAGTATAATCGAGGTTCATGACCGAGGGGAGAGAAACAGGATTACCAGAAATCGAGTGAAATATATAAGTAAACTGTAAATATTCGAATAATTGCATCGTGGTTACGGTATATCGCCACATGATTCATACACGATTCTCTCGTATCCGGTATGATACGAATGGATACGATACGTTGAAATTATGTTAAGATCTATCCGGCAATTCGTTTCGAGATATTTGTCCGAGAGAACTGGTCAATGCCGTTGGATTCACAACCCGCTGACTCACTATCGGACAGGACGCGTGTCGCTTCGCGAGAAGAATCGAAGAAGTCTCTCTCTCTCTCTCTGCAAAACTATTCTTCTGGGAAAACCTCGACGAGAGACAGAGAGAGAAAGAGTACGAAGGTCAGGTTCTCGAATTCGAATCTAACCTTCCACGCAATTCGATTTCGCTACTTTTTCCCACCACCAACAATCTCTCGAGAGTTTCATCTCCTCTTCTTCCTCTATTTCTTCTCTCATTTTTTTCTCCCCTCTCCGAAATATCGACGACACGATGAATAATTTTCACTCGAATTTTTCCACGATGATAAAAGATGGTCGGGCCACTCGACACCTTCTCGATTCCGCGATTGGCACGTCACGTCCCAAAGTGCGTACGTGTCCCCCGACACGGCTCGAGGAAGTTCATCCCAGCCGTCGTAAAACAGTCCCCTCGTTGGAGCACGACGGGGGACACCCGAGACACGAGGGTTTCCAGTTGGGTTCACCTTGCTCTTCGCTCCTCGTTCCTTCCTCGTCGTCGTCGTCGTCGTCGTCGTCGTCGTCGAGGGGAGAGGAATTCGGTTCAGCGAACCGCGGACACCAACTCTTCGCCTCTCGTCGCGGATCTGCCCGGTGCCGTTGACACTGACGTAACAAACGTGATTAGACGGTGTTGGTCGGGTTAGATGCGGTAGATGGGATGGATAATAGCGGGTAGAAATGCGGGTGATGGACAGATGCGATAAGAATTGCGGTGGAGACTTGGTTCGATTTTCTTTTTCAATCGTGGGAGACTTATCTACATCCGCGTACGCAGAGATTTTAATCGTGCATCACGAAGAGGCTAGGTTTGGACGAAATGGAAGAAAAAAATATGAATAATTCGAATCGGTTTTCGAGGAGGAATCCGAACTTCTCGTTTGGCGAGGAAATGGCGAGTGGTGGATCGTCGCGATTACGCGTGGAAAACGGTGTGGAGAAAGTGGAGGACAGGCAGCCTGGTTGAACTTGACCTGGATCCTACGGACCGGGAGAAAGAATGATCGGGTCGTGGAAGCGTGGAGAAAGGAGAGAAAGAGCGAGGAGATGGAGGAAATTACTTTCGATTTCGAGCTCTTGGGATCGGTTACACTTTCTCCCCCTCGGTGTCTGCCTCGCCGAGGTCGCCGCCGCTTCCTTCCTCCTCACGGCCGGCCTGTCGTTACGTGACTCTTCCACAAGGTCAAGGCCGAACCTTCGATCACCCCAGCCAACTTCACCATCGATCGCTTTTCCGGACCGTCTGCCTCCTCTTCTTCCAACTGGATTTCGATTCTCTTCGAAAGAGGAGGAGGAAGAAGAGATTTCGTCCTCTTTCTTTCTTCCACCCCCTCCCTCCCTCCCTCCCCCCGCCGCCATTCTTGTTTTTGACGCATCGATCACAGAGAAAGCTCGAGGAGGCATTTGATTCGTGGATTTTTCTTTTGTTTTGTTATCAGCAGGGCGAGTTAACGCGCGGTTATTGCAGCACGGTGCTTCATCTGATTACACGGTTCGGCGTGTAAAGTCCGCAATGGAATGTTCCATTGTTCTCTATTGTTTTGTCGAATGATATTGTGGAAAGGAAGAGACCTACGGGCCGCCCTCCCTTCGCAATCTCCCGTAGGAAGTAATAACGTTTTTAAAGACGCGTTCGTACCGCATACTGTTGCGTGTTTTTAATCGAGTTGATCGAGTTAACGACTCCAAGCTAAGCTCGAGCTGTATGGGACGATATTTTTGAGGATGGTGGTGATTTATCCACCGTATTTATCCACCCTCGGTGGATAAATCTAATGGTGGATCTATCGCTTGGGATCGGTATTTTTGGAATTTTTATCGGTGCATGTTTTCATCGGCGTATTATCATTTCGAGTGAACGGTCTGGCAGGCATCGAGGAAGTTCGCATCGTGGACGCAAGCAGATATTTTTCACGGATTTATCGCCTTTCCTTTTTACGATTGCTCGTTAAAATTAATAGTGAAATTTCCATCCATTACGCGTTATTACTTAATGAGAATATAAAAAAATTACAATGTGGTGGGAGGATATTTTTAACGCAGTAAAATAAATTTATCGTGTTCTCCCGTAATTTCTTATCCGAAACGAAA